ACGAGTTTACAATGAAGAACATTTTGGGATCTTGATACAGGATATTATTGTGTTTAGTGTTTTAGTGTTTTATCTAACCCATGCTAAGAACACAGGTCTCAAATATCTTAGAGAGTTATATTAGAGTTATATTGTTAGAATTGAAGCTTATTTATAAAATTATACCTTATATCTTTAAAGAAAGTTTCACAAAAAAATAGTCAAACTTGCATATACTGGTTAACATGTTAAAAGAAATATAATAGTGATTAAGAATAAAAAAAAAGTTCATTTATCATCCTTTTCTTTTGTTCTTCTTGGTGACTTTTTTTACAATAATCAAAGACATTTACATTTTAGCTCATCTGAGCAGAGGCTCTGTTGAACTTTTTCTGATCAAAGAGTCTCTGGTGTCTGTCCATCTGTCATCCATAAAAATTAAACCCTAAAATAGGGGTATCAAAGTTTGACATGGGAATAGATAGGAAAAAAATTGTCCTTTAATGAACAACAAGGTAATGATTTACTCATAATGTATGCAAGCATCCTCAAGAAGTGAAGATTCAAGTTGGTCAAAATCATTTGCCTGACTTATTATTATAATAATATTAAAATATTCCCTATTTGTATTTTTTTTCATTTTTTTTCTTCAAATAAATCTGAGATCAGATTTTACATATAAATTGGTAAATGCATGTATAAATGTGAAAAAAAACTTTAGAAAACATATAAGCCATGTTAGCCATATTGATAATGAAATATCCTCTTGTTGTGGAATCAGTTTTGGATTAGACATGGCCTTATGGCCCAGGGTGGGGCCACAGTATTAGCTCAGATTTGTTTTTATGAGAATTAAGGGGGATAAGAATGTCTTAGAAATCTGAAGAACACCAAGGTGACTCAAGTGAATGTTGTGGGCCAGGCCTCTTATTTAAATTGCCCACTTCCATTATCCCTGCAGATTTTTAACATCTTATTTGGCATACTTTTTAAGGAGAAAATCATTTTTCTAACATTAATTTCCCTGTGTTTTGTACACACCATAGAGTAATATTTTAGATACATCTGGGCTTTCATATAAAGTGCTATTTTTAGATCAAAAGTGAGTCTCTTTAATTCTATTTTTAACACATTGCCATGTGGTTGGGACTACTTTCATGGCTAACATTTTCTTGTTTAACTAACAAGTATGCATTTAAAGAAATGTACCTATTGTAGTGAGTTTACATTTAAATCAAAGGTTCTTCACAAATAGTTGTAGCCACTTAATTGTTTTAACTATTTCATATTTTTTTGGATTTTTTGGTGCACTACTAAAACCTGTGGCTGCGCAGTCCTGCAGGTGTATTGTGCACTTCATAGCTGCAAACTGCTGCAAGTGTCAATTAAGCTGCATATACCCAGAGATTGTTTTCATTATGAAGATGACATGGACCAGTTTTCAAGTGTAAGCAAGGCTTAATTTTTGAGATATTAAGGTTTTTATTTTTAGTGAGTCTCACTTGGCTGCACACAAAACCAAACCCTTAAAGAAAATAGGATGAAACAAGACGCCCAGGGGCCACATTGCTCACCTGAGCACTGTGGCTAGGAAAAAAGCAAAAATCAGTTTAGTATTGCAATGCTTAAATGCATAAGTGGTCCTGACCTACCCCTAAAAGGGAGGGGGGTATGATCTGAGCAAAATTGAATCTACACTAACTAAGGATGCTTACTGTACATATTTTTTTGACTAACTGCGACTTTTTTCCTACAAGTTTAAACTTTCATTGTGGCCCCTCCCTACCCCTGAGGGTCTTGATTTGATCAAACTTGAATCTACACTACAGTACCAACCAGACCCAACCTGACACAAAGCAGTCCCACAGCGGTCCCAGAGCAGTTCCAGCGGTCCCAGAAAGCAGTCCCAGTGGGCGGGGTTAATTAATTTAATGGGCGGAGCTTACTCAGAAATGAGATTACCAATAAACAATGTAACTATAAAAGGCAGTTGAAATTGATGATCCATTTCTTTCTGAGCAGTATCAATTCTCATGCGACAGTCATTTTTTTAACTGTTAAGAAAATCACACTACGCGTATAGAAACAAATAATAAATATTGAACAAAGAAGACGTTCACACCTATAAATAACATGAATATTTAAACACAGTTTTGTGGTATATTAATTTTTCACCAAAATAAATCAATTTCTAAATTACTGTGATTGATATTGGTTTCCATATTTATTTATTTATTTTTTTTTTATAGATAATTAAGCTTGAGTTATTCATTTTCTATCAAAACTAGCTTTAAATAGGCCTTATAATTATAGAGCAGAGGCCGATTTCCATACTATACTCTGAATGCAGTTTTCTTATTAAGTATACTGGAGCTTTTGAAAAATTCTTTGTGTATTATATTTCAGTCATGATTATTTTCACTGACTTGCCAATTTAATTATCGTTAAATTATCTATGTAACAGAAAACAATAATACTTTTATTATATAAACGTTTGAGTTTATCATTATCTGTAAATCACGCGAATGGAACCCTCAGATTATGTTCAAAATTAATTAATCCCGAAATAAATTTATACACATTTATTGAAACGAAGATTTTTTGCAGTACATAGATTGAAATTAGTGTCATTGTTGACCAGCATGTTCAGTGATGTGTAACACTGATACCCAAATAACATGCATTGACTTTCTGCTAATCATGCCCAAAGGTGATTGAAACTTCAGGTGTTGACACCATTTTATACATTTGTATTGCTTTTTATTAATCGGCCAGGAAAACACAAACAAAACAAATAAGAAATAAGTCACAATTCCCAATATTTTAAAATGTTTATAAATTTACTCTTTTAATCACTTGTTTATTAATCAAAAACAAATTCATAAATAAATCCCCCAATAATTGTTCACAAATATAATGTTTTAAATGACTGAAGAATGGTAGAATAATTTTATTTCATGGTCATTTCATAAATTATTAGGTTTTATTTGAGGGCGGTAAAAAATAGCATGGAATGCTCTTTTTTTAGCATGCATATGGTTTTAGCTTTTTCAATTTAAAAAAAAAATCCAGTACAGTACGTCCCTCTGAATGTCTTATTGTAATGACAAGTTTGTTTGTTTGTTTTTAAATAGTGCTAATGCAAACTTTGAGTACATTCCGTAACTTGACAACATTAATTAATTAAATAGGCCTCAATATTTTTTTTCAAACACCTGTATTAAAGATTTAATTAGCATTAATTAATTAAATAGGCCTAGATATATATTTTTTTCAAACACCTGTATTAAAGTTTAATTTAAAGGATAAAAGTCATCTCCTGACTTCCCTTTTAACTACTTTCATTTTTTAAAATTAATTCTAGACTACAATTGTGTAAATTTACAGCCCCTGAAGACATTTAGTAATTACATGTATATCTATCTCTACTTATTAAAATGTTGTAAAAAAATCCTTGTTTTTTTTTTTTATTCTTTATCTTAAACACCTCTCTGCTGAAAGTAAACAAAACAACAACAGGGAGCCTGCAAATTCAGAATACACAAGGGGCGGAGCTATCATGTCACTCAGAACCTTTTTCATGCATGAGTGAACAAAGCAGTCCCAGAAAGCAGTCCCAGGGACTGCTGGGTCTGCTTTCTAGAGCAGTCCCAGAGCAGTCCCACAGCGGTCCCATAGCAGTCTTTTTCCTATATATTCCTATGTAAAACTTTGATCGTCCATTGTGGCCCCACCCTACCCAGGGGGTCATGATTTGATCAAATTTGAATCTACACCAACTGAGGATGCTTCCATATAAATATGACAAATCATAGCTATGTTGTTCTTGAGAAGATTTTTTGAAATTTTTCTTATATACTCCTATGTAAAACTTTGATCACCCACTGTTACCCCACCTTACCCCCAGGGGTCATGATTTGAACAAACTTGAATCTACACTACCTGAGGATCCTTCAGTATAAATATGACCAATCATGGCTTTTTTGTTCTGGAGAAGAATGTTTTTAAAGATTTTCCCTAATATGTATTCCTATGTAAAACTTTGATCGCCCACTGTGGCCCTACCCTACCCATGGGGTTCTTTATTTGAACAAACTTGAATCTACACTACCTGAAGATGCTTCCATGTAAATATGACCAATCAAGGCTTTGTTGTTCTTGAAAAGAAGGTTTTTAAAGATGCTCCCTATGTATTCCTATGTAAAACATTGATTGCCCACTGTGATCCCACCCTACCCCCAGGGGTCATGATTTGAACAAACTTTAATCTACACTACCTGAGGATCCTTCCATATAAATATGACCAATCATGGCTTTTTTGTTCTTGAAAAGAAGATTTTTAAATATTTTCCCTATGTATTCCTATGTAAAACTTTAATCGCCCACTGTGGCCCCATCCTACCCCTGGGGGTCATGATTTGAACAAACTTGAATCTACACTACCTGAGGATGCTTCCACATAAGTTTTATATTTTCTAACACAGTGGTTCTTGAGAAGAGGATTTTTGAAAGATGCCATAAATTTTTCATGAATTTGCAATTATCTCCCCTTGCAAGAAGGCATGGCCCTTCATTTGAACAAACTTGAATCCCCTTCACCCAAGGATACTCTGTGCCAAGTTTGGTTGAAATTGGCCCAGTAGTTCTGGAGAAAAAGATGAAAATGTGAAAAGTTTACGACAACAACGACACCAATGACAATGACGACGACGACAGAAAACGGACTAATTTTGATCAGAAAAGCTCACTTAAGCCTTTGGCTCAGGTGAGCTAAAAATGCATCTACTGTCTGCTCAAGAAAAAAAAACAACCTCTGACAGAAATTTGATGCCATTTCTCATTTCAGTTTTTTATGAACTAAAAATCATCCAATTGTACCCCAATTATATGACTGAAATTTAATTTCACTATCAGAATCTTTTCTAAAATTTTGCATGTGATAGGCTTGGGAATTAACTTTCCTCTCTGACAGAAAAGAAATGAAGCATATCAGTCCTGTCTCCCATGTCATGTCCACTCACCTTAAAAAGGAAATATAATGCCACTAAAATAATTCCTAACACCCATCCCTGATCACCAAACAGGAAGTGGAACCAAGGAACTATGGGAGTCAGCATTCTGTACAGCTGCATGATATTCTCTACTACCCTGTATATCTTTCCCTAAAATCACAAACAAAATAATACATTTAAACTGAACGAAAAACCATGCTGAATCAAGAAGAAAAAGCAGCTTAAGTTCATATCTATGTCAATCTCTAAAATTTGAAAATTACACAAATCTAAAAATAAAACAGTATACTGATCACTAAGTGGGTAAAGTGGCTGTAGTTCATTTTTTTTTTATTCCAATTAAAAATATATTTAAGTGACTAAGCTTCAAGTCTTGTAAAGGTAAATGTTTCAAAGAGCTAGAATTCAAGTCAATTTTTGTGCAAATAATATGGTATTCACACCATATTAAGCAATGTAAGTAATGTAATATTAAGGAATAGGATGAACATACAGATATAAAGAAACTTTCTTTTTTTTTAAATGAGTAAACAAAAGCATACACTGTAAGCTCTAAGCTGCTAAGGGAATATTACTTTTTAATATTTCCCATTTATTAAAATAACATTTAAAGGTATAAGATTACCGGTAGTTATAAAGTTATACATGTATATGGTACATGTACTTGTGTCAATATACATGTACATTGTTTATTTCCTCTGCAAACAACCCTTTATTATATATTTCTAAGTGTCATATCTGTCTGAAATACCCTTCTTTTCTGTCCAAATGGCAGCAGAGACAGGAATGCCTTGATTATTATTGTAGAATATTTTAAGATGAAATCTGTGACCAAGACCACCCATAGATAGTCCCAGAATGTGGGAGAGGGCAGGACAGGCAGGTGGAACAACAATCTATAAAATACAAATAATACCAATATACTCCTTATATTTACTGCTTTCTGTTTAGAGAAAGCTATAAAATGTGATGGACAGATGAAATACTATACATGTACAAATGTACAGTACAGAGAGTTATTCCAGTCATAATGGAGCATAAGAATTTATGATTGAAATTTTTTCTTCTTAAAACTTAAGTAAGCCATGACAAAAAATGTAATACAATGTACAGAGAAATCTGCATGTCCAAAATTCATCCATCAACTTTACATTAAATAATCTAGTAACAGTGAGTTTCAAAATTTCTACTTTCTTATTCCATAATGTGTGCAAAAGATGCTTGCAAATCTTGATGTACTCACACATTCCAAAGTGCCTCGTCTTTAAAAGCATACAAGACAACAGCTATATTTGCTGACAGGAAAGTAATAATCCACATGAATGAGAGAATCTGTTCCCGACAGGAAGCATTCTGTAAGGAATGTGATACATTACAAAGAATAAAAGAGATAAGTGTCTATTATGTCAAAACTGTCCAATGCATAATCATTATTTATTGCAATTCTAACAATTCTGGAGATGACACTTCAATAATCTAATTAAAAATAAAAACTATTCGTCAAAGAATGAGGTATACTTCTATCCTATTCTGATTGAACTGTATATTTTCAAATCCTTGTATATTTTTATCATTTTAGATAATGTTTCGATACAGGGTTACAGATATAAACCTACTCTTAGCGATGATTTGTGTACAACTTTCTGCATTGACATGTTGGCATATACATGAGTTCCAAACATGGCCAGAAAGACAAAGAATCCTGAAAAAAAAAAACAATGAAATAATTTAAACCTTTCATTTACAAAATGTATGTGTATATGTATGCATAATATACATGTATCATTAAGTTAGATTTCATGTGCACAAACATACACCAAGGAATCAAAAATTCTGGATTTAGAGAAGTGAGATCCACTAGGTAGTCATTCTATAGATGTGAAAATCAGATTTTTTTAATATTTGTGCAGGTATTGCAAAAATTGAAATACATTAATATGAAAAACATTAAAGTTAAGGTACTTAATACAGATTACATAGTCAAATGCTTAAGACAGAGACAGTTCTTAACCTTGATCTTTGCTTTGTAAAACTCTTATCCTTACCAAGAAAATGTTGAGAGAGCAGCTTCAGGGCTAGGATCAGCAGAAATCCACCAGAGTTAAGTACAATGCTCTTAATGTTGAAACGAGAGGAAGGACCCTCATGGGAGTGTCCATGTTCCTCCCCTTCTCCTGGTAAACCATTCTGGTTCTCATCTTGAAAAAATCCACCAGGCAGCTGGAAATGTTCATGAGACATCAAATTTGGATCAATCCCTCCAGTTCCAGGAGAAAACTGCTCGTCATTGGTATCAATGTCTACCACTACTGAAGATTCATGGGTAGGCTCTGGATGCTGGTCTCTAGAGTTCAGCCGGTTTAGAATTACTCGATGATGAGTGCTTGGGCCCATGATGTGGGGAACAAATCCAGACACTGCCTGCCCAACTCTTGGAATGTGGTCTTGAAGATTGGATGCCATATTGAGATGCCAAGCACTCTGAGGCACGTCTGTTACTGGACTAGTCCGATCAGCCATGATACATGTACAATACAGCGTAACATTCCCTATTCTTCAGTTAGACTGAAAAAATTGCATAGTGCATACCATAATAATGTATAAAATTGTGCCACATTGACTGCATAAGTTTAAAATATATAGAGTGGAGCTTCATTAAACTCAGTGGAGATTCAACTCTGCTAGATATTTGGTCTGATGCCTTCACCAATGAGGGCATCTGACCAAAATATTTAGCCTAGCCGAATCTCCACCAAGATTAGAGCTTCATCAGTCTAGACACTTTTGTCTGAAAGTTGAAGTGTCTCGACTAATAAGGCTCAACTATGGTCCACCGCACAACATCAAAACAATTACACAGCTGTTACATTACACATCATTCCAATGACAGTAAGCACAGAAAAAAATGTTCATTATATGTTTGTACATCATCATCAGCTGATCATTTCAGAAGTATATATATATATATATCTGTTTACACAGAGATCTGGTCATTTTGATTAATATTACTGGGGAGTGCAAAAATTGTTTGTTTATACATCACAGCAAAAAGATGGCTTAATAAACACGCCTTTAACAGTTTATACACTAGTTACTATGATACGTGTAACACAAGCCTGAAGTATGTTACGGAATTTATATCCTGTTTTGACAATCAAATTCACATGACACGGTTTATAAAAGCAGGTATCTTATTTGTTTACCTTAATTGTTTATTCCTTTAAAAACATGTACGACGACGTCAAAATCTGTCGATTATCATTGATGGAAAATCATGTAACATTTCTATTTTTATACCTAAAGTGAAACAGAGCTATGGGAAGTTTCGAATAAGATAATGTTTCCGATTCTGTCAAAATAAAAGAAATATAATTAAATAATGAAATTATTTTTTCAAAACAATTACCTATTATTTTTATCATTATAATGATGTTCGAATTTAATAAAAAAGATTCATTTTAATACGAAACTCTGTCTGCATATTTGTTGTGGTGAAATGGTCTCCATACGATGTTGTGGAGAACTCGTCACTTAAAACGGCGAATTGTTCTGGTTTTGCTACTAGGAGGCGGTTTTATTTTATTTATATCCAATAAATTATCAAAGGTTAGTAACAGAACCATTTTAATTGGATCCATCGCAAAGGGATGAATAGATCGAATCAGTGGTTCGAATTTCCTTCAGGTTAAAAAAAAAAAACCTGGCGTAAACGAACTTATTTTGTTTTAAAAACACAAGAACATATAATTCATTATAAATCTGGGATTGAATTTGTTTTAAAGGAATATATTCTTGAGTGTTCAAATGAACAAGTCCAGCACAACATCTTGATAAAACTATATAGGTTGATGAAGCTTTTTCAGTTCAGTTTTACACAAATTTTTTTTTAATAAGAATTAGGCCTACACAAAAAGTCGCAAAGATGTAACTGCTTAGATTTCAAATATGGACTATTAAAAAAATCAATCTAATTCAAACTTCTTTTAAACATTGCACTGCTTTTGAACACTTTTCAAGCTTTGTGTGCAGTGAGGCATAGCTAAGTATGATTATCTCACATTGTGCTGAATTATTACCAATCAATTTTCTTGTTGACCATAATTGACCTTCTTTATAAATTCATTCAAGAAGTAACTGTGCAGTCACAAATCAATTGATTTATATAGCCCCAAAACTTTTCATTCAGGAAGTAATTGTGCAGTCACAAATCAGTTGCTTTATACAGGGTTTGACACTAACGTTAGTCCGTTAGTCTCAGACTAATACATTTTCATTCAGACTAATAAAATATGTGGCTAATAAGTCCGAACGGACCAATAAAAATTTCTGAAAAACAATATGAATAAATTACCGATGTCCGATTCTCAACAACTTTTACAGGAAAACCTCGTGTATTTTTAGATTTCTAGCTTTTGGCGGGTAGTTACGCAATGCTGGGTCAATTCAGCGCCTAATTTTTGGACTGATCGATATGAAGTATAAGGTTTTAGCGATCATGATTTAGTATGACACTTTTAAGGAAGATGTTGGACGTTTTGGATGTAATGTAAAGAACGGAGATCGGGAATACAATCGTACTTGCTGATTGCGAGATTTCAATGAATCTGTGGAATAATATATTTCACGTAAATACTTTGTTTATTTCAAAAAATAATAAGTATATTAATTGTCATGTTAAATTAATGTTAAAAATATTGATGTTTCTTTTCTTTTTTTTGACGGACTAATAAAATCGTGTGCGGACTAGTAAAAGTAATGAAGCACTAGTCCGGCTGGACTAAATCCTTAAAAAGTTAGTGTCGAACCCTGTTATATAGCCCCCAAACTTTTAGAACTTTAAGTCCAAATTCTCTCAAGGACACGTAATTTGATGAGTGATTTTTTCATGCATTGTTTTCAGAAGAGTTCAAAGATAAAAACTTTCACTGCTCCTAAGTGCAACGTTTTTTACATACTGAAAAAATTGCACATTTAAGAAAAAAAGTATGATAAAATAGCTACCGGTAAATCAAGCTATTTTGAATGGCTAAATAAAGCTATACAGCTAATTCAAGCTATATAGCTAAATCAAGAGATTGTGCCGAACCTGATGAACATTGGTCTACTGTCTACTCATTATCAAGACAATGCCTTATCAAGGCCTTTGCCTGTGGGATAAGGGAATATATATATATATTAAAAGGAAATATAGGTTTGGCATTATTGCAGTGGGAGGTAATGATCTTGATCTATGATCTTGGTGTGGTGTTGATAACTGTTCAGTGTGAGGGTAACAATTGCATAAAATTTGCAGAAATGAGCTGTAATAAATATATAATTTATTTTACAAGCCAAGTCTAGGTATGGGACAAAAAGTGAGTAGGAAAACTCAGGCCGGGATTTTTTTTCTAATGTTTACACTTTTTTGTCACTAGTCTTTTTTTTTTTTTTTTTTTTTTTTACATTTTAAGAACTCAAAGCTTGTACCAGACGATTATGAAATAAAGCATACCCTGTTAAGACAACCTTTTGAATGGCAGCCAAAGATTTCTGAAGTCCAGCTGGGGGAGGGGAACTCTACAAAGAAACAGATATGCAGGAATTCCGTCCAGGGAAAGAGTCTCATTGTGGATGAGAGAGGTATACAGACAAGGCTTTTATATATGATTATTGTTGCACATTGTGTTGAAATGTTTTGTTTTTCAGAGTAAAAATAAATACTCTTTCAGAATTTTTTTGAGCATATGAAACATGTTTTAATAACTGACTTTACTGTTATGTTTATAAAGTGAAAATAACCACTTTCTTATGCAGAACAGTATAAAAACAATGATATACTGTAACAGTCAAACTTCGTTATCTCGAACTTCACGGGACCAAGAAATGACTTCAAGATATTAGAGGATTCAAGATATCCAGGGTAAAATACTTAAGAAATAAGTGCTTGGGACTTCAAAATCACTTTGACATATCCATGATACATGTATTAAAGATATCTGAGTTCGAGATACCGAAGTTCAACTGTATGTGTCAGATACATGTACCAGGTATCTCAAAGAGGTTAGATTGAACTATATTACAAACTTAATAATCCATTTTAATATCAAACACTTAATATAATATTAGGTATGTTAGTTTCATCAAGTTCAGTATCTCAAGCTTAAATATTTCATTCTTTTGTAAATCTCATGAAGTTCAATATCTCAAACCCTTAGATATTGCAGGTTTTTATGTTAACATCATTAATTTGAGATATTGAGGTTTGATATTTTTTGGAAATGAGTATTGAATATATACTCATTGCCTGGTGCAATTTCAAACAGAAAAATATATCATACTTGTATTTATATGATATTTCAGGGTACGTTTGTAATCGTACATCAGTGGACCCCCATGGATGTTGTAATGTAAGAAGGGGATCTAAATCAACATCAAAGCATCGCTGTGATACATGTCTGAAGAATGCCTGTTGTGTTGTGTATGAATACTGTGTAGCCTGTTGTCTAAAGCCGGATAAGGTACAGAAATCTTTATCAAAAACTGTTAAATTATAACCCCCCTCCTCCCAATCTGGATACATGTACTACACAGCCTATTTTCTTCCTATATTTGTATCGTTTTATTTTTTGCTTTATTACATGTATAACTATATCGTTGAATATATTCTTTTGACACAGAAGTTATCCTTCAGCCTGTTCTTTTCAGAGACCATTGTTGCAGAAGATTCTTACTAATGCTCGTGAGGGATTAGACATAGCACTTGGCTCTGTATCTGATCACTTTGAACTCTGTTTGGCCAAATGTAGAACTTCTTCTATGGTAAAAAAAATTAAAATTTGCTTCAGTATCTTAAATTTCTGTTAGAGGTTCAGTTAATGGTTTTTTGGTTACTTCTACTAGCCCAAGAAGGACAATTGTAATACCTGGTAACATTTTATCAGCATATCATTTGATTAATGAAAATGATCTCATATTGTACAGTTGATATTATTCATACATATACAATGTATCTTTGCAGAGCGTTCAGCATGAAAACTCTTACCGAAACACATTAGCTAAACATTGCTATGGAGAAGATCCCCCCGAGCTTCAAGCACTAGTCACTTAGCTGGCTGACTGGACCTGTGGTCTGTTGTGATATAAATATGTAAAACATTGTACATAGACTTGCAGGGTACAAGGGATATTTATGTATGTGTAACTTATTTATTTTTTTATTTGTATATTTTTTAATGTGAACTTACGGAGTGTGTTTACAAGTTTTAATTCATTGGATGTTGAATTATTATTGACGATGTCAACTCATAGAGAAGATCCTTCAAAAAAATCGGACAGAAATCCGTTCTCCGTGGACTGGATTAATTCCTGTTATCAACAAACTTTACTTCCAGATGCACCATGGCATGCGGTAAGTCCTGACTGCTGCAGGAATCTTTGAAATGCCAAATATTCTTCACAATTGATGAATATAATTCCAAATGTATGACAACAGTGATCATTTTAATGATAAAATTGTGCATGAATTCAGAAATAAATCTCTTTTTCGAATCATTATTGAACACAAAATTTTAATGTGTGCAACTTATTGTGATACTATTCATGAAATGCAGGCATTTTCAAATCTCAAATATATTGAGAGAATAGAATGAAATATGGCTTCTTTCAGATGGAGGCTAAAATTGCCCAATCCTTGGCCAGTAAGGTGGAGAAACAGTTTAGTAAACCTGAGAGAAAGGAGGCCCTGATTCAGACTCTGGGGGAGGTGTTTGTAGAAAAGTACCTCCCCAAGGCAACATGGAACCCACAGATACTGGTCAGTTTCTAAATTACATTTGTACTTCAATATCACAGACAGATAGGAGACATGTAATTGAGATCGGGAATGAAAAGCACTCACATTTGTAAGTTTTGAGAAGAACATACATGTATTAGTAGTTTAACTGACAAATAAAATGAGGAGCATCTGTAAGGGTATTTTATGTAATTTTTTAAAATAATTATTCCCATTATCGTTTAATTCTTTCAAAATTATGTACATTTATTCATATAATACATATTGATGTTTTACAAAAACAGGAACCACCCAATATGACTCCCATAGAGAAACAAAAGATTATGAAGGAGGCCCAGGCTTACCTGAACAGCCAGGTGTATAAGTGTGTCAAGGAAAAAGGCTACAGTGTAATGTTAGGCAAAAATCTTAACACAAGGTGAGACAAATATTTACATTTTTTTTATCATGTAGGATTCATATACATTTGGATTTGTTACAAACTTATGAGAGAGTATGTTTGCAATATTAGCATATA